TTCGGCGTGAAGAGTTGATGCTTTAACCACTAGGCTACCCCACTGCCCGTATAAGCATGAAGTTTGTTAAACAGTTGACGTTAACGTTAGTTCAAAAAGAAGAAGTGGGAAAATGTTATTTCGAATCTTTGAAGGGCATTTAGAAGTGGAATACATAAGAAAAACAAGATTTATGGATATCATCTTCTTTACTATTTCGGCCTTGGAGAATTTTAGGCATACATGACTAATGTCAGAAAAAGGTTCGATAAAACCTGTCTAGCTTATTGTTAAAAAGAGACGTTGTGTGATAGAAGATGTTTTTGGAAAGATCTTGGTTAGGATTTTGATAAGCTGAAGCATATTCAAGCAGTGCATGCATACAAAGATTAGGTCTTATTTATAGATTCACAGAAGGCTGGTCATTTACACCAAACTGCAACCTCGACAGATGATTACTCGGTTACTCATAAGGGTAACTGGAGAAAGAATGGTTACTTCTCCCAAGAATGGTCAGGGTTATTTCAGGTCAGGTCAGTTGGGTAACTCAGGTCAAGAAAAGTCACTCCTTCCGTTCAGACAGGATCGAATCCTAGCTCGTCAAGTAATTAATTCCATTTCGGAAAACACACTGCACCGTCGGTTCATACAGTGAGTGAGTTTAGTTTTACGCCGCATTCAGCTATATGACGGCGGTCTGTAAATAATCGAGTCTGGACCAGACAATCCAGTGATCAACAGCATGAGTATCGATCTGCGCAATTGGGAAACGATGACATGTGTCAACCAAGTCAGCGTGCCTGACCACCCGATCCCGTTAGTCGCCTCTTACGACAAACATGGGTTACTGGAGATAAATATTCTAACCCGGATCTTCACGGGTCGGTTCATACAGGATTCACGACCAGATTAGCTGTCGGGGATTAATTCTAGATACTGGCAAAAGCCTGATTGTTTGATTTCATTTGATTGTGACCATATTTTCAGTCAAATTTAGTGTCGGGTTTAGTGAAAGTTGGTGTAAAATAAATTCGCCCAGTTACAGACATTGCCTTTCTTGTTGGTGATGATTTAACAGGGTCCATGCTACCAGTGGTTCTACATTAGCTTTGAGACAGGCACCTAAGAGACACTCAGTCGTTTCAGGAAGAGATTGATATATTTTCTTCATTGGCGTTGACTCGTCCTGTGGTTAACACGACATCCCGAGAGAATGGCATGCTACAATGGGCATATGCTCTGGCAGATAGACCTTACACGCAGTATTTATACAACGTTGTGCTTTGATAGAACTAGCACATTCTCATTCACATAGGAGGACAGGAAGACCTATGACTTTAATACATTCTGAAGAACACAAGAACTACTCCTCCGCCAGACACAAGGAGAGTATAAACATCTCAATGCGACATAAAACCTTTAAGAATCAGAACAGGAAAGTATTTATACCTCTACCATGAGTTTACTTATTTATGGTCTACCTTTGTATATGTCCCTACTGACGGGAAAATATCAATGAAATAATATTAAAAACTGAGTAGACTTCATAAGCCCAATACAAATAACCATTGTCGGGGGATTTGTCGGGATTAGAGCGGATTAAGGTAATCAAGCTCCCTTATGACCATCTTGTTAGTAAAACACATTGTGTCACCTGCGTTGTGTTGTGTTTAGCAATACTTCCTACTGCTCGTGGCACTTCCTCGTGTGTTGTTGGGTAACTCAACACACTTACCTACACATTTTAATTTCAAACGACCAAATCAGAGTCACACCGGAATATTTGTTGTGAGTCTTGCTCGATATCACGTTTTCTTATATATGGTCTACGTTTGACACGCATCCATTGACAGGCAAATATTAATGATATATTACTCAAAATTGAATAGTCTTCATAACCCAAATAGAAATAACCATTGTCGGGGGATATGCAGGGATTAGCGCGGATTAAGGTAATCAAGCTACCAATTCTCTCAGTAAAACTAACACATTGTGTCACCTGCTTTCTATTGTGTTTAGCAATACTTCCTCCTGCTTGTGGCTCTTCCTCGTGTAACTGGGGCACGTTGGTGTTTTGTTTCAACGTGTCAATCATATGGGGGTTTCCATTGTTGAAATGACAGAAAAAATCAACTGCTCACACATGTTGTTTATCTAATTGATCAATCAAATATTGCTTAAGTGCTTTGTTTAAATCTTCCCATATCATAATAATATTTGTGCTACTAACGCGGAAATTGCTGTAAATACTTAAGGTTGAAAGTTGGGTCGGGGAAGCTTTTGGTTCAACCTGGCTTATAATAGAGATGGATCCCTTATGGATGATCAACTTCTTTATTTTAACAATGGCGACGTTTCGGTATAGATCCTTATACCGTTTTCAAGCATATGATGGCAAAACGTTATGGATGATCAACTTCCTTGCCATCTCTATACCACCAACTTCTAGAATACTACTTAAACAAATCATTGGCTGAAAATGTTGGTTGTATGATGTCCATCACTGGTTTGTTTGACGCGACAATATTCCAGCTATTTAACGGCGGTGTGTTAATAATACAGTCTATCCAGTTATATCTTTATCCGCCATTAATCACAATGTTCTCCCGTTAATCCTCAATATGTTATGTATATAGCCTTGAGTGTAACAAAGTTCTGTTCTGTTCAGAGCCCCATTTCGTCAAAGCGAGCATAGCGCTACGACAGTCGTAAGTCCATGTTAAAGTATGGTATCTTAGCGCTACGATCGCTTTGAGGAACGGGACCCTGGACCAGACAATGCTGTGACTGACATCATGAGCATCGGTCTACGCATGACATGCCTCAACCACATCAGCGATATCGTTAGTCATCTCCTACGAAAAGCATGGGTTGCTGCAGGCCAGTTCTAACCCGGGTCTTCACGGGTCATGTTGAAAGACATCGCTGTTATTTCACTTTTCCACTTAAGGAAGGAATCAAATAGTTTGGTGCAGTGCTATAAACATTTAATTCTGTCAGGGATCATCGTAACGCCATTTATTCCCTCTTGACATTTGACTGGTACAATCGCATATGACGTGTTTAGTCCATATTTTGGGCTTTCATAAATATGTGGAAAGAGACGGTCGTTATAATCAGATCTACAGGAAACTGTTTGGGTCATTGAGTTGTGTACTCGCTTGTGTTCATCTCAATTGGGTATCCTAATTTTCCTTTGAGTAACCAAATAAATTGTACCCACTTCACTCAAATTCAGTTGGGTATTTTGCCATTTTCCATTAATTGTAAAAATATAATAAAGTTTAAATGTTGGTTTACGTGTTTGTTATTTATGTTGATCTGTAATTACGTGTTTGTTATTTGTTTAATTTGATCTGTGAGGTTTGTGTGGTGTTAGGGTGGGGAGGGGGTGATTATTGGCATGAGTATATGAGAAACGATAAGAAAGACTGCAAGTTGCCAAGTTCGTGTGCTGAAACAGAACCTCTCAATATACCTCAGTTATTTTATCCATCCTTAGTAACCTGCATCACATGTTTTTGTGTCCGCATGTAAGATCATATTTATTGAGTATTTTACAAAAATTCAATTGTACTTGTACGCAATAGACTTAATAGGAATTGAGGTTTCACATAAATATTTGCGTACTTTACGCGGATACGCAGCTTATCTGCACCTCCGTATAATACATCTACTTGGATTCGGAAGAATGTGTCTTGTTCAAGACAAATTCAAGCTCCATGTTACTATATAGCATGTCTTTCCTGAATATCTAACGTGACAATTAGCGACCTGGAGATATTAAAAGTACAATCACCATTAAAGACATAAGCTATATTCATTGCTTTTGTGCAGTGTTCTGTTTAGCATCTAAACCATTGTCTACCATGTAACGGGCACCTACATCCAGAAGAAGCAATATTTAAAAATCGTTTCAAATCGAAATACATGGCATCATTAGTTTTTGTTTATCTTAAATAAAGACAGTTGGCAATGATTTCGTTTTACGAGTGAATAGATGTTTAATAAATAACCCAAACTGGACCAGACAGGCCAGTGACGTACACTCACAGTGTATAAAATGTAGGAGTTCTGTGATGGGATTCGAACCACTGAGTTTTTTATTCAAAGTAGGATGCCCAAATAGGTTTATCCTCTAAGCAATCTAGCAAGGTAAGGACGTCATCTGCTGGATGTCTCCACGTCCTGCTACAGGCTCACCAGTCAACAGAAGACTGTCCCGGACTGCGGAGTTGGGTACTGAGGCTGACTGTACTCACAGCTTATATGAACGTGCTCAATGTGACGCCACAACACAAGCCTGACGAATACACTGTGTATACTTCAGTAGTGAGTGAGTGAGTATGGTTTTACGCCGCTTTTAGCAATATTCCAGCAATATCATAACGGGTTACACCAGAAGTGGGCTTCACACATTGTACCCATGTGGGGTATCGAATCTGGGTCCTTGGCGTGACGAGCGGACGCTTTAACCACCCAGTATTTCAGTAATATAACCGTATGTCAGCATATACTGACTGACTTACATGTTTTGCAAGTAAGTTAGGTTTGACGACATTTTGAAAAACAGTTTGTCATTTCACTGAGCCAAATGAATGAAGAAGGACGTGTATGACATTGTGGAACTCCGGGAGGACGTGGACCTGTATTGGAATTCCAAAATAGGATCAGCGGATCCTGACACAGGCAAGGGGTACAAATCTGGAGAGCAAATTGCCGCATATAACCAACCGATGCATGCCAGGGAAAGGCTCACATCATGAATGAGTGAGTTTATTTTTTCGCCGCTCTTATTCAATATTCCAGCTACATGGAGGCGGTCTGTAAATCATTCAGTCTGGGTCAGACAATCCAGTGATCAACATCATGAGCATCGATCTAGGATACGACACATCATGATTACCACGAAGATGACACGTGCATGATCCATTGTCTTTCTGCATTAAAACACGTTTCGATACACCCATATGCATCTTCGCTTTCTGATTGCCTTAAAATATAAAATATGACAAAATTCGTTTTTATAAATGTTCAGATATTTATTTCAAAAGCATTCATGATGAAATATAAACATACGTTACAAAAAAAAATGTCATATTTACAAAAGTCAGCATATACAGTATCACACATGATTTACTCTGAGCACATGCATTGGCACTAGCAATGAATTTAAATAAAGCACGGTTCGACAATAGATGTTACTGCCCATATCAAAGGAATATAAAAGACTGCCCCAATAATGTGACGGGAATGTCGCAGTAAGATTCAGATAATCAGTTGATTACCTTTCACTGGTGCTTATTCCAACAGTCGTCACGGATGTGGGCCTTTAGTTGTTCTGGGGCGTCTCGCTGAAAAGTTTTGCAACCACCGACGAAACTGAATAACATGGACCTCGTCTCCCCAGCGATTTTGCACTCGGGTGTTTCCGGAATCGGCATTTATCGGAATGACAAGAATGGTCACGAATGTTGGTGTTAAGATCTCCTTTCCAGTCTCGTGTTGACCTTTTATATGAAGACGTTTACCTGGTTCAGCTGCTTCCCCCGTAACTGTCTCCGTCACGTCACAACGCAAGAATAGTCATGGAAACACATGAAACAACTTTTGTGAGAACAGATCTGCCAAATAACCAAATTACGCGAAGCCCAATCAAACTCGATGTCTATGCAAACAATCTGAATACATTTATGTTTTCCATAAAATGATTTCAATGATATGAAGGACGCATTAAAAGCCACGCATATATTTGTTCCATAAACAGAACTCTCTCACAGAGATGAAAGACATTGCATGCATCAGTAATTTAAAAAATCTCATTAAAAAAGTGGTAGAGATTTTCGTGCGCAGTTCTCTAGATATGTTTGCAGGGTATTTGATACCAGGAAAGTAGTATTGATAACACTTATGTCGAATTTATGCTGAAGTAGAAGTTACTCTTTGAAGGAATCTCCATGTTTCTCTCCGTCTAGATCGAAGCGACCTAGAAACTGAAGTTCATTGTGTCGAACAGGGCTGATCGGTCTATCTTATAGGACACAGGTTATAGTGATACATGACCCAAACCCAGTACTACTGCGTATGCGGTGGGAGTATTCTTGACCTTATACATGAACAGTATAGCTTGAGAGTACATGAGAGTATAGCTCTCGCAAAGCTAGTGATGGACCTTCCTTCAAATGTTTACGGTCAAGGACATCCGTCAACATATATAATATGGCACTATTTGATTGTGTAGAGTCTGTACCAAGCGTTTGAATTTGGGATGTTGTAAATCCATGGAGTTTGATTCGTTACAAAGACGCCTTGACAACATCAACAGCCGTACTGTTCTAAGGTAGTTTCTCGGACTCGACCTTCACGTGCTGTTCCTGCCACGTGATGCTTTTGCATGTGCCAGAAACCCGGATGACCATGGTCCGTCCGCCATCTTCGAATGTCACCATCTCGCACTTTTCCGGCAGACGGCCCCGGAATGGCGCCTCGAGGTTCAAAATGCTGCCGACAGACAGAACGTTGTCGTCCTTATCTCTGATAACGTATGGTAGACGCCGCCTGTTGGTCTCCTTGGTGTCGTTGTAACTCATCCTGCTGACGACGGTAAAGTCCGACAGTGTTTTCTTTTCTACAATTTTCATCTCGGCCTTGGTTTTCTGACCTACATTGACACTGATGTCGGAGTTGATACTCCACTGGAGTCGAGTTTCGAACGTTTTGCTGTTGCTTTTTTCCATAGTAACCTCTTCGTTGACGCCGGCGCCTATTTTCAAATAGTCCGGAATCCCGATTTCAATGCTTGCCTCTTTACCCACAGTGTAGCTCTCCAGGAACTCAAAGGTAGCAGACGACACTGTTTCCCGCTCAGCGCCGAAGCTGAACTTCTGTTCTTCGCCTGTGTTGTTCTCGTAGTGGGCAAAGTGCATACATACTGGCTCCTCAGGTTCTGTGTCGATGTCTTGAGCACGGTCGTGCCACTCCGTGGAACTGGACTTCTGAAGGTACTCCCATCTGAAACACAGAAGCCATGTATACGTTAGGAAACTATTTCAGAATAAACATTGTCAAACATATCGAAGTCAAAAACATTGAAACCTTTCACGACCCTGTGTCTTTTGCATTTACGTAACAGGATATTGTGTACAGTACAGAGTTTTATAGGAATAGAATTTTAGATTTTTTATTTCAAGTGTTTTTATGTTTAGCATTTGTTGCATTACTTGTATGTGCTTGGGTTAATAGCCACGGCAGTTAGTCTGTTTTATCAGGGATAATCTACAACACCCCGTTATATAGTCTCCCTGGTTTTATCAAAGGGTGGAGAAGTCATTCCATTCCTGTCTCAAACGATCTAGCTCCTCAAAACAAATACACGTACTTAACTACAGCTTTCTTCCATAGCATTTGCACTCTTTTGGAATGCCACAGTTTATAACTCTGCACTGGACAAGACGCTTGCGCATATTTTGTTTGGTGTTTCCGGAACATCACGTTACCAAGCATTCTCTTCCCACAGAGGTTGCTCAAGTCATATCTTGGGAAGACATGACTTGAGCAACATATGTGGGAAGAGAATGGTTACCAAGATATAAAGTATATTCCATGGGTGAATCCCATTACAGACATTCCGTCGTCATTTGGCTGCAACATTGCCAAAGGGAATGAAGAACAACCACACGCCTCCGAGACCAACTAATAAGTCTTCGAATTATGAAAGTAGGATAAATGATATTATTCATAGGTTAAGTATGTTCAGTGATAATGGTTTAACATCGATTCGCGACTGGTTGGTCCTGTACCTGATTTCAATCTTGCACTTGCTCCTCCGCGTCATGGCGGCCTTGAGTTTGCCCACATCCTCTGGGTACAGCTTGTTCCAGATATAGTCCGAAAACACCTCGGTCAGGTCCAGGCGGGTCAGGTCCAGCTTCTGCGTCTTTGTACAACAAGCACCCATCTTACAGTGGACAGCGGTCACGGCAGGGAGCACTGGAACACAACAGTTTAGACACTGAACACATGGGAATATATACAGTAAAATGAATCTGAAGAGTTAATGGATGAAGTGGATGGAGGCAGATGTGGATATCGGACCGTGGGTGGACCAGAGATAAATGGTTTGTCATCTTATCCCACAGGTGAATCACATACAAGGTTAACACTTGTGAGTGAAGATTTCAAGATTTCTACGCGTTTAAGCTCATCATACGGCACATGCTGACAACTGAGTGGGACTATGTACTGCATCTCCAGTGACTTCAGCAACGATTCGATGAAACAACTTCCATTACGAGATACCACCCTGAGCTTGAAAGCGTACGGCCACAGTAAGCTTTGTAATTATAAGAACTTGAGTAGTTATACACATTGGCTGATCCATTTTACAGAAGCCTTACTGTCCAAGTCCTTCCTAACAAACACATTTATCCGTAATCAGCCTACCCCAGAGAAGAGAAGATACAGTCGCCGAAAACAAAGCAAAACCTATGTTGTGACAGTAAAATATCAGAGACACCTTCGTTTCCGATAAGATAACGTTCTTCTATTTTCATGAAACCCAGCTAAATATTATATCTAACGCGTATGTACACCTACAACGACGTCCTATGAAAGTCCAGTGTATTCATCAGTATATAAAGACACTCGACATGTTGATATAGCGATTTCTCATTGGTCAAGAGTTTTAATCTGTAAGGGGCGGAGTTTAAAAGGTTATTGGAGCGAAACACGTGACAGCTGATCGGAGCTGCGATCTTTGTGTGATCTTATCAAGTAATTGATGCTGTTTATGTTAGCGATTTAAAACAGGGTGGATGAAGATGCTAAGAGTACAATCCGCTAAACAAACATTCTGTTGCAAAGAACCAGTAATTGGATTTATGATGTGATAGCAACAGCTGTTTCTTGAACGTCAATAATAGGTAAACATATATTGTCATGTATGACGTGATAATCCAAGCATGTTACAAACAGCCTGAGCACTACACGGCAGCCATTTTAAACATAGATGATAAAGTATGACAATATCCAGCTCAGCATTCGAAATTAACGTCGGTCCTTAGGCCCGCAGCCGATTGAAAACCATTCGGACCCACAGCTTTTGTTTTCTGCAGGTCCATATGGCCGACAGCTTTTTCATCCCCAATAACTAAGAGTTATATTTTTCAGAAAATATCATTCAGTAATTTCAAGTTTTCATCTCGATCAGTACCTGTTTACCCAAGTGAAACGACTTTCATTTTCGAGGAAGCAACTTAGATTACTGAGATATAATCTTTAAACTCTTTAACTCAGTTTGTTAGTTGTCACATGTTTGTCGACTGGGAATAACTTATATTGTAGCTAAAATATAGGACCTACACATTCTGATCAGGACCCACAACTATTTATGATTCTGGGTCCTTAGGGCCTGCAGCATTTCAGGATCAAGGGCAAACACTGCCCAAGCTACAGATGACCGTTGGTGGATTTGAAAATAAAGATACTGTCTATGTGATTTGTTTTCGATGCATTTATTGAAATAAAATGTTAGTTACATAGTTTCTATTAATGTAGCGGAATCCCTTCTCATATCAAATGATGATTTTATTGCAATAAAATATTTTTTGTACCTTACTTCAAGCATATTTCGTAAAATCTACCGTTTTGTCCTACTCTGTTTTTTAATACTATTGTTTGAAGGTTGTAATGGTATCCAGTTATGAACTTTGGCTTCTGATATAAATAAGCTACAACAGTCTAAACTGATTGTTTCACCTCCCTCAAATGTGAAGTTAAAACAGAAATCGACCAGGGACCATGCACTCTACCGCTGAACCGAAAATCGCCGCGCATGTCCATTTTACGAACGCTTCGCCAATACTACAATCTCGCGCTCACATGACTCCAGAAAGAATGTTCTTCAACTGTTTAAAGCAGAGACTTACTCAAAGTTACTAATACACAAAATTCACCAATGCATAAGTGTTATATTTAACACACACCACCCAAAATATATAAAATAAAATAATTGAATAAATAAAAATAAACAAACTCCCAAAAAAAACAAACAAAACAAAACAACCCCCCATAAAACAAAACCCCAAAACAACAACAACAAAACAACACCAAAAAAACCCCACAAGTTTACAGTACCTGGAAACTAACGTTTATATAAATAATCTTGATAACACTTACCTACAAAGTTTCAATCGAGCGTTCAGAGGCAATTCGGAATACTTGTTCAAAGTGGAACAGGAGAGTTTTGTGTCTAGCTCGATTTCACGTTTACTTATATATGGTCTACGTTTGACACGCATCCATTGACAGGCAAATATTAATGATATATTACTCAAAACTGAATAGTCTTCATAACCCAAATGCAAACAACCATTGTCGGGGGATCTGTAGGGATTAGCGCGGATTAAGGTAATCAAGCTACCCTTGTGCCCATCTTCTCTGTAAAACTAACACATTGTGTCACCTGCTTTCTATTGTGTTTAGCAATACTTCCTACTGCTCGTGGCACTTCCTCGTGTGTTGTTGGGTAACTTGGGCACGTTGGTGTTTTGTTTCAACGTGTCAATCATATGGGGATTTCCATTGTTGAAATGATGACAGAACAATGTCAACTGCTCATACATGCATGTATTTTTAACTGACACATGGAATATTGCTATAGCTGGACTTTTCGAAATGATATAAACAATAGTTGTGGATTAATGTACGTATGTTTGAAAATTTCGGGAAAGAAATAATGAAGAAATTGCCAAATGGTTGCTTAATGATAAGTATATATCATATATATGTTTAATCATACTGTGTAAAGTTAAGCAGCATTACATAATGTTACGTGTATGCAGAAATTATTGTTTTGATGTCTCCCAGTTTCTTAAGTTGAACAAATATTTCAATTTACTTTCAAACGCATGTGCGGAAAAAGAAAAATAACCTTTAACCCACATTGTCGTTTAATTTGGCGTAACTGTACCGAAATGTTATGCACAAATTGTCATGAATATACATATACATGTATACTCCACAAATAGATCTATATATATATATGTATGTATGTATCTGAATGTACCAGTCGCGCACCGATGTCTGCCCATGCATTAACATACACACAGCGCTAATTGGGTCAGGAAATTCGTTCAAGAAAATCGCCCCTACACTTGAGGATCACATTCAGTAATATGTAATTGCCTCTTTAACCAAATATGGACATGGTTAATTATTCATCGCAGTAAACTGTACACAATAGCAATGAGTATTCCCGATATGAATAATGCACACCATCCACCAGCCCTGTGCCGTTATTCCTTCTGTGTTGCAAACAATGTTAATTCAAGTGTCCAACCATCTGTCCTGTTACTGTTTAAACAAATGTAAAGTGCCCTTATTAAATATTTACCTCATGTAATTTTATGTCCATGTGCCCTGAACATATAACGGGAAGTATTTTCCTTTGTCATCTGTGTTTGTCACGGTCTCGTGACGAATGACAACCAAGAGACATCTTAGATATTTTGTTCATGTTAACCACAACTTGAATTGCTGAAAGGTTAAACGCTCTGTTGAGAGCTAAAGGCACCTGTTATGAAAATAACATATTGATCTCAATTAAATGAATCAAAGAAATGATCTAAACACTTTCAAATAAAATATATCAGCGTACAATTTGTAACTCACAATTAGATAATTTATAAGATAATCCACTTCGTTTTGTTTTCAAACAAATCATTGGTCCAAGTACCCTTTCCTGATTTTCAAACATCAAATATATAATGCCCTATATTTCTTGCAAGAGCCGACTTACATCTGGATCGGTTGGGTAATACTGTATGAGCGTTTGTTTGCGTCACTCTAAAATTTTACCCCTTTGAAAATTATACACGCTAGACTCTTGAATAAAAATATTCTTCTTCTTCTTTGAAAAAAATTACTTGACGTATCCAATGTTTATCAAAATATTATATTATGCTGTGTAATATGTATGTTTTAATAATATTGTCTGAGAGTTTAATGTATATCTAATACTAATTGCAGTGAAAGTGTTTTGATGTATTTGTATATCCGCTGTAGTGTTGATTGCGGCATAACACAACCTTCACTCACTACCTTTAAGTGAAAGCGCATCTGCCATATTGAATCCATGTTGAAGGGTCAAACGGGCAGGTGGAAATGAGTGAAACATAAATCTACTTGAAATCAATAACAAGTGAGCTGTCACCCGTTGTCTGTCAGCCACCCGTCCGAACCTCGTTATCGATATTTCACGTGCCACGTGCGCGCGTGCCTTGTCAATAGCCAGGTGTTACACAAAGCGCGACTGTTCGACCTCAATAAGGGCCAATTTGGCATGAAGCAAGCAAAGGTGAATCCTAAATCCCCAAAGCCGTATCGATCATGTCTTACACGACACAGACAGTATATTTGCTTCCATGAATTATTTTATAAAAAAAGCTTTCATCAAAGATATGTCGATCGTTCGTATGTATTAGTATACAATTATTTATATACTACAATATATTAATATATTGATATCGTATTTTTGAAATTCTACACACTGAATATGTTTATGACATCCATAAAATATTCCCCAGCAACCATTGCTGTAGATGAATGGAGACTAAATAGATCAATAGGTCATTCTCGGAGACTTGGTTGGCAGATCTGTAGTCTGAAGTCGCGGATGTTTGCTCATTATATCAATCATTCGGGAGTCTGATCCAAACTCGATCATTTACAGACCGACCGCATTTAAATGGAAAATTACTGAGCTTCATTTGTCAAATATGGAGAGTGACCCAACTTGTCAGATGCAGACTGTACTAGCTGTGGCAGCCGTTGAGTACGTGTAGATTGCAAAACATATGTCAATTGACAAGGCTTGTCGTGAACCGTGAATGGATGTGAGACTAAGCGATGTCTATATGCGATGAAAATCATAGCATATATTACCACGAACGTTAGCCTAAGGTGGTATCAGGGCCTGACCTCATTTCGCT